TAAAAATTTTAACAAATTTAATGATAGAAAAAATTATCATTAAAGAAGTTTTTCTTATTGTTTATTATAATGAAAATAATAATTTTAAACTTTTAAAAAATACTGAATATATAGATATATCTAATTAAAATAATTATTTTAACTTGTAAATTAACAGAATATATGCTAAAGATGATACACAACTAATTACAACTCAATTTTTATTAATATCACAACTAGTTGCAATCCTATAATACTTATTTATTACTAATACAATTAGTTGTAATACTATCTTTAGTATATGCATAGATTTTTTAAATATAAATATTATAAAAAGAAGAAATCTTTAGCTAATGAAAGGATTTAACTCAAAATAAATAGGTATTATCTACAATAAAAGAAAATTTAAAAATACTGAAGATATGAATAATAAGATAAAAATACGAAAAAGTATATTAAAAAATTTAAATATTATGACTAGATTATTAAAATAGACTAATTTATATAATATAATTTAAATGATGACATAATTAATATAGTTGATATAATTAATATATCAGATATATTTAATATATTTAATATACAGTCAACTCTTATTATAACGAACTCTATATCCTAAACCTCAACTTCGCTATAAGGCTATAGTGAAGATTTTAAAAGATTTGATTGGCCAATTTGCTATAATAAGAATATTTTATTATATTTGTTCAAAAAATTCGTTATATTAAGAGTTCGCTATATTAAGAGTTGACTGTATTTAACATAATTAATTTAGTTAAAATAGTTAAAATAGTTAAAATAATTAAAATTGTTAAAATTGTTAATATAATTAAAAAAGCTAAAATAACTAATCATTATTTTATATATTTTAAAATATATATATAGGACTTATTTTTAATTTAATAATTTTCTTATTTTTTAATTTATTTTATATTTCTTTCTTTCTTCTTATATTTTCTTATATTTTATTAATAAAATATTTTATTATGAACTATCAATTGTATAATATCTAATAATAAGTAATCATACATAAAATATTTAAATTTTATTTAATATAAATAATCTGTTTTACTATATAACTTAAAAAGAATTAACTCTTGATATTTTGTTTAACTGTTATAATTCACAAGAATTATATATTAACAATATAATTATTAATAAGTATATATTAATAATTGATTATGAAATGTGTAATAATACTTGGATTATATTTTCATTTTAATTTTATTCTACTGTTATTTATATCAAAAGTAATTTACTAATGCATTTATAAATATTAATTTAGTAAGTATTTTTTCTATATTAATATATTAAATACTTAATAAATATATTAAAGATTTATTATATGCTATTAATTGATTTCTTTTTGTAAAATGAGTACTATATAATGATTTATTATAAAAAAATTATAAATGCTAAAAATTTTAATATGAAAAGCTAATTTTCTACTATTTTTATTTTGGGATTTCATTTTAAATATATAGTTTAAAAATTGGTAAATAATAAAGTTAGAAAATAGATTTTTATAAAAGTTTATTCTAAAAAGGATTTAAAAGTTTTATAATAAATTAAATTAAACAAATTAAGTCTTTAATAAGATTTAAAATAATATTAGCTAGTTTTCAAATTGTTATTATATCTGTAAAAAATGAATACTATATTATTATAGGTATAATTAAAGTTGTTTGTCTAAACTTTAGTTTTGCTAATTTTTTATTAAGATTTTAATACAATTTTACATTTTTATAAGCTTTGATATAGTTTTACCTTTTTCAGAATTTCATAGATTTTTTAATAAGATTTTAATATAATTTTGCTAAATTTTACTTTTTTTCATTTAGATGACTTGCAAAATCTTTAGTTTCATCTAGTAACCTTAGGTATAACTAATAAATAAATTATTATCAATTACATAAAATTTAAATATTTAAATTAAAAATATTTAAAATTTTAAATATATTTTTAAATATTAAATAATAAGGATTAAAATTAAAAATATTTAGTATTAGAAAATTTAAAAAATAATAATAATTTACTTATTTATAATTTTAAAATTTTAGAAGTATCTAATATATAATATATTTAAATACTAATATTTCTTTTGTAATATTAAAAATAAGTTAATTAAATTTAATATTATATTTTTTAATTAATTAATTCTAAATAAATTAAAATTATAAAATTTTATTTTATAATATAATATATAATTTATAAAATAAACTTATTCTTTATTATAATTGCTTAATTTATTATTATTTATTTTTTATAAAATTAAAAATTATTATATCCTTTAATAATATTATTAAAATTAACGTTTAATATAAATTTTAGAGATTATATTTCAAAAATTCTGAATAAATACATTATTACTAAAGTTTAATTAATATGTCAAAATGTATTATATATAGTAATTGTTTAGTGATTAGGGTTGGTTATTTATAAATTAGGTTTAGAAGTTAGAATCAGAGTTAATATTAAAAGTTAGGATTAAAGATTAAGTTTAAAGATAAATAGGTTTAATATGAGAGCATAGAATTAAAGTTAGGATTAAATTAGGTTACCACTTAATATTTTATTAAAATATAATTCATCAATATATACACTCGACATATTTACATTTAAAAATTTTTTTTAATGTCCGCACTTTGCTAGAAAATTATCAAAATTAGCATTCATTTTTTATTGTCCCTTTCTATTGCAAAGTACCTATATGATGATGCGTTCGTTAATGAATTTACTAACGTAATTAATTAAAATATAACATCTATTCCTTTTTTCGTAAATAGGAATTTTATTTATTGAAAAAAAAAAATTTATCGTTATTACAGTATCAATGCAACGATGCGAGATTTTTCTCAATGATTATTTTTATTATAGTTGTTTGAAACTCAATTGATATCCGAAGATTCGAAAAGTAAGTCTAGCTATTTGGTATAAACGTTATCAAGTCTATATTTTCGATTGCAGCAACTTCATTTATCCGTAATTCCGCAAATACCTTTAATATATCTGTAATGTATATAAAATATATAATTCTGTCTTTATTTTGAAAGCGAGACATTCTAAGTCTTTAATATATATATATATATATATGCTACTCTTAACTTTGATCTTTTCTTATACTATTATATTTGATAACATTATCTTTTACTCGTTAATTTTTCTTTTTTATTGATAATATATTTCATATTTGATAATATTACATCGACATGATTATGATTTTTGCTGAAAGTTATTATGATTTTGCTGTAATTCTTATATGGCTCCTGTGGGCAAATAAATTTTTTTTCTAGACCCGGTTGTGATGTAGTTTCAATGCTTAACAAATATTTCAGATTCTTCTTTTCCAACGGACTACCGTTGCTTTATTTAATTTTTATCTTTGTCTCTTTCTATACTGATAGAAATTCCTGTTATCTTTGAAAGTGGTTGACAATTATAAGCGTAATTCACCTTAATGTAAAATTAAGTTCAATCAACATCCTTCATATATAACTAATTATGAGAGTATATGCTAGATAGAAACTTACTACAAAACAGAGAAAAAAAAATTTTTTTTTTTTTATTAAAACCTATTCATTATGTCTAATTTTTTTTTTTTTTTTAAAAATATATATATATATATCAGAATCGAAATTTTTTTTTTTTTTTTTTTTAGCTGTAAAACAAACTAGGCAAGGGACAATTTTCCTAAAATCTCTGTGGATAGCATTTAACGGTCTTTTTGTCATTCGATATCGATAGGAGTGCTTACGGGGGTATCTAACCTTATGTCAGGAGTAAGCGATTCATCTTTCAAATTACCTTATCAAGAAAATTGAATAATTTCATGTTTATAAAAAACATTTTTTAAAACAAAAACGAGAACCAAAGTATTTTAATTTTATATTTACGATGTGTATCATCACCTTCCAAATCATTAAGTTTTTTATCAATTATTTCGAGCATTTCCTTTGTGAATTCCACTTTTTTTGAGGAGGGATAATTTATAATTAATAAAATCGATTTTAGTTGAACGAATGCAATAAAGGTTATTCGCTAAATACCTCTGTTCCTTGGACGTTTAATTTTTGATAAATGAGGATTGATTTCAATGCTTAAACATTTATTATCACTATTGATAAAAGATGAAATCAACAATAATCGAAACCTTTTTTTTTTTTGACTTGTAAACAACAAAAAACTTACTTTGAAGATCCAAACTTCAAACCCTTGGTATTTTTATTTTCAAAAGCTTGTGTACTCATATTCTCTACTATCTTTCTTTCTTTCTTTCTTTCTTTCTTTCTTTTTTTCTTTTTTTTTTTAAAAAGTTTTTATTTTATTTTATTTATTTTTTTTTTTTTTAAAAAAAATATTTATTATCTCAATAACGTAAACAAAGTGAAAAAAATTTTTTTTTTTTTTTTTCCAAAATGTTCGTTGATAAACACGATCCCTTTTTAATAATTACATTTGATGACTTGGAATTTACGAGTTGAATTTCGGGTTTATAACACGTAAATCTTTATTCTGTAATCGAAAAATTTGTAATCATAACCCAGTAACCTTTTTTATATTTTTGGTTATAGTAGGTATGAAAATGTATATATTGCTCCTTACGTGGATGTTGGAGTTTTGGTTTATCTTAGATTGACGCCATGATTCAGTGTAACTGTGATGCTTACAAAAATGGATGATTTACTAATAACCCTTAAGTTACGGAATTTCAATTCTGAAGCTCATTGTTGTACGTGAAATTTGTTGTTTTTCAGGAGAAATTTCCATTTTTAAAAAATTGATTTAAAATTTCTTACGTAAAATTACTTTGATCTGATCCAGACTTTTTTAGCTGATGGAGACATCTTTATGTAAAAGGAGGATTTTTTCAAATATAAAAAAATAAAAAAAGTGACCGGTGGCTTAAAAAACTTTTTTGATCAATGTCACATGATCGACACCAATCTCAAATTTATATATATTTTTTTTGTCACCTTTTTTCTTTTTTCCGGCATTTGTTCAGAGAAAATTAAAAAAAAAAAATGATTGCGATTGGTTTTGAGGGTTCAGCAAATAAATTAGGAATAGGCATTATAGAACACAATACTGAATCAGGCGTAGTAAATATATTGGCAAATATACGACACACACACGTTACACCCCCAGGAACAGGATTTTTACCGAGGGATACTGCTGTTCATCATAGGGAGCATATCGTACCGGTTGTTAAAGAAGCTTTAAAAACTTCTAATGTTCAAATTAAGGATATCGATGTTATCTGTTATACCAAAGGTACGAGAACGAAAGAGATTTTCTGATTCAATTCAAGGAAAGTTTACGATTAAACTGAAGCTTTTTTTTTTTTTTACTAAAAAGGACCAGGAATGGGAGCTCCCTTAGTTTCTGTTGCAGTTGTCGCTCGAACTTTGGCGTTATTATGGAACAAGCCAATTGTAGGAGTAAATCATTGTATAGGACGTAAGCAAAAAGTGTCTCATTTCTTTCAACGTTTAATTCATTATTTCATTTCCCTTGCTTGATCCCTAAAGATATTGAAATGGGGAGGGAAATTACTAAAGCCGATAATCCTGTGGTATTATATGTTAGTGGAGGAAATACTCAGGTAATCGCATATTCAGAGCACAGGTGAGAAAGGTTAATTCAATGATGATAAGATTCTCTTAGAATCTAAATGTGACTTGACTGAAGAGATGATATGTAGATATCGAATATTTGGAGAAACCCTCGATATTGCGGTTGGTAATTGTTTAGATAGATTTGCAAGGATATTAAATTTATCCAATGACCCAAGTCCAGGTTATAACATTGAACAACACGCAAAAAAGTAAGTCATGATTTCCTTATTTTAGAACTACCCCCATTTTTCTTTGATTTAAAAAAAAAAAAAAAAAATCTTTTTTTTTTTCTTTAAGAGGAAAAAAGTTTATCGAATTACCTTATACCGTAAAAGGAATGGACGTATCATTTTCAGGGATTTTATCAAATATAGAAACCATCAAAAATGAACAATCGTGTTCCCCTGAAGATTTGTGTTTCTCTTTGCAAGAAACTGTTTTTGCCATGTTGGTTGAAATTACTGAAAGAGCCATGGCACATATTGGCAGTAAAGAGGTGTTAATTGTTGGTGGCGTTGGATGTAATTTGAGATTACAAGAAATGATGGCACAAATGGTTGAACAACGTGATGGAAAAGTTTTTGCTACCGACGAAAGATTTTGTATTGATAATGGAATTATGATAGCTCATGCTGGTTTGCTTGCTTATAGAACTGGTTTTATTACTCCATTAGAAAGATCAACTTGTACTCAAAGGTATGTGATGTTAATTTGCTTTTGATAGATTATCATCATTATATTTCCTTTATTAATTATTATTATTATTTTCTTACTTCAGGTTTAGAACCGATGAAGTTTATGTTGCTTGGAGAGATGCAAATTGATATATTAAAAAAGAAATTATTAAAATTTGTAAAAATTTGAGGGAATTGAGTATATATAAATATATTGGTAAGCATGATTTGACAGTTTCTTAAGATGATCTAAAAATTATTTTTTTTTCCCCGATCATGTCTTACAAAAGAAAAATATATATTTAAATAAACCAAAAAGGATATTCCATTATATAAAACAAAATGATTTGATTAGTTAATTTATTTAAGTCGACTTAGTATATTTATATATCATCTATTAAATCCCATGCATTCGAATGGTAATAGACAAATAAACCGATAAAGTCTCCCTATTAATATATAAATATTTATAAAAAAAAGGTAGGTTAACATAAATTAAACAAATATATAAAAAGATATATATACATACACATTTGTATATCATCCTCGTTACTTACACCAAAATTATGCTTCCTCATCAGAATCCAGAATTTCTATAACTTCTCGAATTTTTTTATTCTGCCTTATTTCTTCAATTGGATTGTTGGAGTCCACTTCAATATCGATAAATTTTGTCTCTTCAACGACTTCTTCAAAATATCTTGCAAATTTAACCGTTGATGCATCTGGACCGGCTTGATCAAACCTTCTGACGTAACTTTTCCCAGTGGATTTATGAATATTATATCTGTTAGCCGATGGTCTATTATTATTTACTGAAGTTCTATGATGATTGTTTGCTGAAGGTCTAGTATTATTCTCTGGAATTTTATTATAATGATCTGAAGATTTAGGAAGATCAACTTTTTCTGCCATAATTTGACTCTCCATACCTTCATCAACCACAACTTTACGCCGTTTTGTACCATCGTCAAAATCGATGTACTTGTGCACGCGACTTTTTTTCCTTAATCGTTCACGTTCCCTTTCGATCTCATCTTCGGAATCATAATTAATTTTTTTCCGCTCTCTTCCATACTCATCTAAACCAATTTCTGATTCTGGCTCAGGGGTCATTCTTGAATAGAATGGATCAGGAGTAAGACCCTTATATTCCAACCACGTTTTAGGACGATAGTGTAATGTGAGAACAGCTGACGGTTTGTCGGCACTTTTCCATCCATAATAAGACCCGTTTACGTGACTTGATATCAATTTCTCACCGCCATCCATTGGAGCTTCTTCAAATCGAGTACTATAAGATAGACCAGTGTAGTTTTTAGATTCTGTTACGACTGCTTGCTTTACAGTATAAGAAGGCCTTGCATACTCTTTTAGTGACCACGTAGCTTCAAAAAATTCTACCGATATACTTCCGAATCCGCGATTACAATCCTCCTTAAAATTAACCTCCTTTGAGACATCATCCGTCCACATTGATGGAGCGAATATAAAATTATATTTTTTCTTATCCTTTTCATCAATAAAGTGTTCAATTATATTTGAACGTGAATCTGTTAACGTATAAGATGCGTGATCCCATATTCCATCAATGTATAAATGAATTCGATATGCCTTCTTGGAATTTGCCGAATCCGCCCACAGCTTGACTGTGAATTTCATTCCCGGTTTTGGTACCGCTACGAACACGGTCCTATCGCTGGGAAAAAAATAAAAAAAAATACATTAATCAATAAAAAAAAGTAAAACGAAATCAAATTGAAAGGTTAAGACGTCAAATGTCATTTATAAAAACCTATCGTAACGTTTGTCCGTGTTGATGCCTTGTATATAACTCTGCTTCGTAGTAATTTCCTAAAAAATTTTAAGGTAGTATACTTCGATGAATAACATAAAAATGAAAAGTGAAATATAGACCACTGTACAGATTTACCATTTTACTAGTCTCATACGGTTCGCTATATTCTCGAAGGGGGGAATTATCGTTCACCAAGATCTCGATTCCGTAACCACCTAAAATCATGGTTTTTTTTTTCTTATAATACAAAAAAATTTAATATATATTCATATAATATTATATCGTTATATATTTTGTGAGAAATTTATAGATTTTTGTTGTTACGCAACACACTTAACTATATTTGGAAAGGGATTGTCAATTAACGAATGACGTTTCAACACGTGATAATACCGTGTTGATCATATGCATTTGAAATATCCCAATCACTTGTACATTTAATATTACAAGATAAATGACCTTACAAATGAGTGAGCATTATTGTTTGTGCATTTAACGAGAAATAAAAAAAGAAAGAAAAGAAAAAAAAATAAATTTAAACTTTTTGAATGCAAAGTCCATAAGGTCTAATATCCCTATACTTCCATCTGATACTATCTTAAAGGCATTAGGTTTTACACGATTTTGAAACACGACTTTATATGTCTCTCCCTCATAATAAAATTCTTCAGCATATGAAGCGGCTACTTCAATATTTGGAGTAGAATAAATTCCGTTCAATAGAAATCCATCATCTGTGATTGAATTCGCATTAAAATTAGCGGTACCATGGTAGCTAACAATCCATTCACCTTCCACAGATTCCAAGTTCGTTACCCTCTTTTTTACCCCGAGCCAACCATTGTCATCAAATTTATTAAGAACTTTTAACGCGATACGTCTCCATCCATACGGTCGATTATACTTGAAATTTCCACGCATATAAGTTTCCCCGGAACTTTTCATATTTGTAAAGTCGTAATCGAAATGAGGGTCCAAGAGATCCAGATCAAGAATATAAATTGTAACAGATCCTCCACGTACACGCAAAGTCAAATAAATTGTTGTATCATTTGTGATTTCATAATGTTTTAATGTTTGATGATCTTGCATTGTTTTATTTTCGTAACGTAAACATAGTTCCTCGGGTGGAATTCGTTCAGTTTTATAAATTTCATTTTTAATTGACTTACGGAGGTATTCGCGTTTATGTTTCTAAACGTTATGGTCTCTCCGGAAAGTCTTTTTATGAAATTCCTTCGACTTCATAAATTTTATTCTTCAATTGGCTTACGGTGGAATTCTCGTTTAGATCTTTGATTGTTAAGATTCCTCCCAAAAACTTTTTTATGAAAATATTTTTAATGATAATATGATTAGTGGAATTCTCAATTTCAACATCATGCGAAGAAACAATATCATCATCAGATGAAGTGGCTTCCTCATCGATGAAATTATCGGAAGAATCGGGACCTTTGACCAAGTATGTCTCATGAAGTGAATTAAAATCAAATAATTGATAATTATAAACGGAATTATTATCATTTTGTAATAATAATAAGTATTCATCATGCGTAACTATTCGCTTATCCGTAATTTTCGATAAGGCTGCATAGGTGCTCATGGTTTTTTTTTTTAAAAAAAAAAAAAAAAGCCGAAAAAAAAAAAATATATATATATATATTTAACCCATCGGAATTCTTAAATTTGAGACCGACGTTTATTACTCCAAACAAGGTATCAATTTCCTTCGCGCATGATTACTTTAAAAAAACCTGATTGCATTAATGTATGCCATGATGCGCAAGGCCAATTATATTCAGATAATTTCCACTTTGAACATTTTCGAATTTTCTCAGTTCTTTTCAAATATCTATTTTTGTTTGCTTTAAGACTTTTAATCGTGAATTCTATGACATTTGTAGTAATTATCATAAATCAAAAAAGATCTTTTGTTGTGTAATGAACTTTGCATTTGAAGTCGCACCAAATCAGAAGCCACAAAAAAAAAGGTTAAATGAACAAGGTAGAAGACGTAGAGTAGAGAATTTTAACAATTAAATTTAACAATTAAAGTAGGTGTTTGACTAACAGTCCACACAATAGAGAAAGCTTGTAATGAAAATTCAGGAGCAAGAGAATGAGATCTATTTCAATCAAAAGTAATGAGAAAATGTTAATAACGGAGATATCGTGGCCGAATCCGTTATCAAAAGAACTAACAAAGCTAGTTATTTTGAAAATTGAAATTTCGAGTTTGTGAAAAAGATTTCCGACTAATAAGTGTAATTGAGAAATTCTGACATACCAAAACCCGTAATGAACTTTAAAAGAGAAGCTCAAGGACCGCTTTTATGGTCTCGGGATTCGAATTCAAGTCGGATATATCAGTGTGTGAGTTGAACAAGTAACTGGAATAAACTTTGCAGCCCAAATGAAGATTCATTGTTATGGAAAATATCTAGGAATCATAGGAATTATCGGGAACGTAAATGGAAAAAAGTTTATTTATTTACATTTTCTGCATCCATTATATCCATTAGACCATTAGACATTTCCATGCACTCTTTGTTCTTCTATATATAATTTTTTTTTTTTTTTTTTTTACTAGAATTTGTCTAAATCTTATTTGCATGAACTTACTTTGTATCATTTTATAAATAATTTTCTACTCAATTAAATAAACCCAATTCGACCATTCCATTTGAAAACACCATGACAATAAGACAACTTGTATAGATCTTTCCTGGCCACCTTTGCATTGGCCCGGTTAATCGCATGAACATTTTTTAAAATCCAAGAATTGAATTCTGAATTCATACGTACAACTTTATCGACTAATAATATTTTATAACGATCCAACAAGAAAATATATTGTCAACATATCAAAATTGTTAAACTTCTCTTAGCATATATAATAAGGTCATCCAATTTTAGCAATGTTGATCAACTACGCCAATTTTAAACAAGTTTTTGTTTTATAAATTTCTGTCATCCAACGTGATCCAATGGATTTTGTTTATTTTTCTGCAAGAAAATAATTCTCATGATCTTAAAAATTTTTTGCTTTATTATAAATATTCTATTCAGAATTTCTTTTCTTTTTCTTAAAAATTTTTCTTTCTCTCAAAATTATTGCAAATTTTAAACTTTTATAATGGTTCGAGTAAACAAAAAAAAGTCTCCTTCTACTCGTCGCAGAGCTTTAGCTCGTCAAAAAGAATATTTTAACAAAAAGGTTCTCCAATATAAGGGTATACTTAAGAATAGTTCTAGACATAATAGAATGCATCTCATATGGGCTTGTTAATATATTATATATGTGGTCCATTTGTTATTTGAAGGAGTATGACAATATAATTGATCTATTTAATATAATTGCAGTATATTAACATTTTTTCTCTTTTTCTTATATTATACTATAGATTCCCAAAATGTGAGTTTTTCTTATTTAAATCTAGTTATCACAACCTCTATTATTCTATATTAATATGTAACCTTTTGAAATATTATTAGATTTATTAAGCAAATCTTTCAAAAGTCTGGTATTTGTTAGTTAAAGATATCTAATTTTATATTTTTAATATATGCATTTTCTTTATTTAGGCTAAAGATTCTCATCAAGAAGTTCAAAAAGAAACACATCAAGAAGAAAGTCTTCAAGAAGATACTTTGAAAGAACAAATATTAATTCAAAATGCTGAACTTTCTGCTGAATGTAAACGTTTAAAAAATGAATTAACTAATCTTTCTTCACTTTTAACTCATCAAGAAGATAGAATTCATCGACTTGTAGAAGTATCTAAAAAAGCTTCAAGAAAGAGATCATCTAAAAAATAAAATCCAAATAATAAGTTAGCAAGTCAAATAATTTGTTCTTATCCTTTTACATACTGAAAATTTAGATTAAATTATACTTTTCTTCTTTTTTATTTTCTTTAATTTCATGTATTTTTTTCTAACTTTACTTAATAAATTTATGCATTTATAGCACTTTTGCCTTTATTATTTTTTCAATATTATTATTTTAAAAGTTGTCAATTACATTGTTAACACTTTTACTTTTACTCTTATTTCTTTTTCTTTTAATATTATCCTAAGCTTATTACATATTTGTATAAAATTAGTTCTAATATCTGTTATAATCTATACGATGTGTTCTTAGTAAAATCAGTTAAACTTTAAAGTTTAGTTATATCAGTATTTAGATTTAATTCAAATTAGTTACTTATATTAACTCCTTATATGATCATTTTTATTTATTCAATAAAATTTCTTTATATTTTTTTTATTAAAAATTCTATTTTTTATTTCCAAAGATTTTTGAATTCAAAATATTTTATATTTTATTTTTTAAAATAAAAAAAAAATAAATAATTGCATTTCTTTAATTATTTCAATATTTAGTGAATTATTTGTAAAGTATTCAATTTGACAAATATGTTAATATTATTTTACAAAATTTCAATTAATAAATTATAAGAAAATCTCATTCAAGACTTTATTATTTTCATAAGAATATTTGAAAATTAATAGCATAACTAATTTGTATACTACTTCAAAATTTTTTCTACTTTCATTTTCTTATTAACTAATTTCAATTTCATTTAAATATTTTCAAATTTCTATTATAGTAAATGTAAATTATAATATCACAAAAATGTATAAATTTATCATTTATATTAGATTATTATTTTTTACAAAAGTATCTTAATAGACTTGAATTATTTTTTCAAAAATATTTACAATTCTTTGTCTTTTAATATTTTTTATAAAGTCTTTAAAATGGTTATTTCATAATTTCTTTATCTTCTTTTCTTTTTATTTTTTTTTAGATATTTCATCAAATAATATCATATCTTACGTGATTTTACTTTTTCAATCAATATTTTTTAAATAAATTACATTTTGATTATTTAAATATAATTTATTTTAAAATTAAAGATTTGTTTTACTTAAACCTTTATATAATATTTCTATTTTATCAATCTTTCTTAAAAGTATTTAAAAATTAATGACTCAATATAGCTATATAACATAAATTAGTTTTTAAATTCTTTTTCTTTTTATTTTTCTATTAATATTTTACATCCTTAAGTATTCTATACTTATAGTAATATATTTTTTTATCTTTTGAGTATTCAATATCTTTTGCTATTTATGAATATAATTGTAAATAATTAAATATTTATCATATTTCTTAACACTTTAAATCCATTTTCTTTCTCTATTTTCATATTATATACTGAATATGATTGGCTACTTTATTTTAATCTCAAAACTTTTATCATAATAAGTATCACTATCACTAGAATAATTTGATTAAATATCTATATTAAATTCATCATCTTTTATTAAAATATTTTGATATATCTGAAATATTTTTTCAAAAATATTATTAATTTCACTTTTAATAAGATTTTTTAAGATAGCTTTTCAGTAATTTTCTTTTCTGAATTTTTTCTGAAATTTTTTTTTAGATATTTCATTATATGATATTATTTCTTGTCTTATATCATGTGATCTAATATTATTATCCTTATATAATAATTCTTGTAGTTCTATTATAGGTATGTAGGTACATTTATTATAATATTATATTCAAAAATTTTATCACTTTTTATATTGGTAGCTCATATGCAGTTTAACATTCTGTCCTAATACTAAAATAAAAATATCATTATTTTTTATTTTTAAGGAAAAACACATTTATTTTATTAATTTCAAATAAACATTCATACAAGAAGGGTGTTTTTATGCTGTCATATTTTATTGTTAAAGTAGAATTTTCATCCAATTATTTCTGAATAAACATTATAGAAATCCAACTTGTATTTTCATTTTCATTAAACAAAATTTGGTATGATTCATTTATTATTTTTTTTAATATGTGTATTATGTAAAATTTCATTTTATTATTGTTATAAAGTCGATTAATACTCAAATTTCTTATTATATTTCAAATATAATTTTTAAAATCTAAATTGATTCAAAACTAAAACTTTTAATAGTTTTTCTCCTGATAGAAATTACTAAACTGTTAGACCTGAAATCGTTTCAAAACTAAGCTAATAAAACTAGATATCTTAATAATTTGTTTATTTCAAAGGCCTTCCTAAGAGAAATAAATGATTAACAAACAAAAATGATTTTATCACAATTTACTTGATACAATTCACTTGTGTAATTGATTATCAATGATCAAATCCTGATATGAAGACGAGAAGTAGATTGAAAATGTAAATAGTAACTTTATTAATCTGTAGAGTTATAAATCTAGTTCCAAAACTTATTCAGAAAACTTTCTGATCGAATTCTATTAAATCAAGGTCAACTTACAGGTCTATTTATATAAAATTGCTAACTAGTACTATATTATGCTTTTTAATAATATTATGTAATATATATAATGAAAAGTAGACTAAATAATACATATAATAAAAAGTAAATTGTTCGATACTTATTATATTTTATATGCATTTATAATAGGTCTAATATATGTATGAATATTGCTAAACCGGTAATATAAGCATCAACCAGAACTGTATCTTATAAGGTATTGTTTTATGTTAAAATGTTAGCAAAAACGCAAAAAAATAACACGATCTCATTATAATTATCTTCATTATTATCTTGATTCAAATTTATAAATAAAGATAAATAAATATTAAACTGACATTGCTTCACTAATTTGAGCATCTAAACATTCTGAAACTATAAATAAAAGAAGTTTTTTTTTTTTTTTTAAAAAAAAAAAAATAAATAAAAAACGTAGAAAGTATAGTACTTAATTAATAATATTACCTGTAAAAATTTGACAAGGAGATGAATTTACAGGTTCTGGGAGATTCTTAAAATTTATTAATCTACTAGTATAAATTGCTTGAGAATGTGTTTGAAGAGATTTGGGTTTACATTCACTTTTAAACTTGTTTGCTCTAATCCTTTTACATTCTTCTATTTGAGGATTAATCTCACTATTAGGATTCCATAGTTCTTCACTCAATCTTTCTAAAGTCTGGCATAATTCTTTAGCAGTTGGACGATTTCCTACTTTAGCATCCAAACATTTTTTAATTAAATCTGAAAGTAAGTTTGGAGTATCCTTAGAAATAGTTGGTCTTAGTCCATTACATATTTTAACAGTTAAAATATAATCATGAGGAACATTACAGTAAGGGATCTCTTCCGAAAGATATTCATTCATCACTATTCCAAACGAATAAATATCTGATGCTTTCGCGTATTGATAACCACGCAAAACTTCTGGAGCAATATAAGGCAGTACTCCATAAATTCCTTCGGATTGTTTACTTTCATTAACTGGTTGACACATTCCCAAATCACTAATATATGAAATACTATTATTGAACAATATATTGCCTGAATGAAAATCTTTATGAACGTTCCCTACGTTATGAATATCATAAAGGCCTCTTGAGATGTGTGATAAATTATAAATTTTATCATAATAATGTGTACTTTTAGATTGAATAAGAACGTTTTGTAAATTTCCTTCTTTACAATATTTCAAAACCATCATATAATCCTTACTGATTGGATCTTGAGTTAAGCCATAACATGGAACGATACACCATAAATAAATTTGAAGGTGAGATTTAATCTGGTAAAACCATTAAATAATTTAATAAACAATTGGTATGAAATTCCTTAATATTTTCAAATTTAATTACCTCGTTTAAAGAATCTTTGCTTATATCGAAAGAATTATCTAAACTTTTTAATGCGACCGTTTGATCTATGTTCCTTTGCCATCTTTGTCTTTTAATATCCCAAAATTCAATATTTCCATCGGGCCAATATGCCGAATAAATTTTACCAAAACCTCCCCTGGTAATATAAGAGACGTTGGAAAATTGTTCAAAAGGTATCCATTCAAGACATTTGGAATAATGGATAGCATTAAGTTGCGATTCTTGTATTAATTCATCCACGTTTTTATTCCCACTGGTCCATTTATTAAAATTTTCTTTAAACCTTTTGGAATTACAAGGTTGACACCAATGCCAACCTGTGCCCGGCTTATAGCATTCACCACATGTTCCATACGCTTTCTTTCGTTTTTCTAAATCTTCTGTAGAAACTACAGCTCGTTTATTCATTCTTTTAATCTCTACCAGTTTGACAGAAGCAATTGTAACATATCGCTTTCAAATAGATGTCAAAATTTATAGCGTAACTCAAAAAGGTAAAAGATTTCAGGTAGCAGATAACTTACCTGATATTCGTAATTATATTCCTTCCATAAATCTAGAGTTTTATTTTCTACTTTGGGAATGTTGTCAATGACTTTTGAGGAATCATTTTCTAAATTATTATGTTTCGCAGTACTAGTTTTAGACAACCATTTAAATAAGTTCATTTTATAGTTTCAATGAGTAAATTTTTGATTTATTTTTATTTAACATTGAGGTAAGAGACGTGATACAATGTCCTGCGGTAAAACATTAAAATTTGTATTTTCGGCAAAACTTTTCGAAAAAAAAAAAGTTGACGGTATTACATTTTTAAAAATTTTTCTGTAATCAATAGTAACAATACCTACTACATATTTGAATTAGTATTATTTGTGAAATCTCGATTTTTTTTTTCATAGCCTTGACTCTAATAATGGCGCAGTACAAAAGAAAGAATGAATCTATTAAAAATATCCAGGTAATGAGAAAGATTACGCAAAACAATTGTTTCAAGAAACTTCCCATCACATACATTCTTCTTCCTACCTTCCTAACCAAATTTATTTTAATCACATAACTTTAAAAATCATCATATATCCGAATATGCTCATTTTGGAAACAAATAAATCATTTAAAAATAAAATCTTTTTTTTTCTCACAAATTTAACCTTTTTCTTTTTTTCAAAAATGAACAATTATGCATTTGTAGCCGCTTATTTATCTAACATTATGGATATACCAATAATTACTTATGATGATTATTTATCACAAAAAAATAGCAATCCTAACCAATTTTATCAATCCTTTGATTACAATTCACTTCATGAAGCATATCTGGTCAAAGGTGTTGAAATTTCTGATGGTGATGTGGAATTAGTCTTTGGAAATTCTGGGGAGAATATCAGAAATATTTTCATCAAAAAGTTATCTGGGGGGTCTTTAATAATTAAAAATCTAAATGAGAATACTACCGTAAACCAATTGAAAAATAAAATTTATGAACTTGAAGGAATTCCACCGAATGAGCAATGTTTAATTTATAACCTTAAGGACATCGAACGTTGAGTTATTATAAAATCAAAAATGACATCACTATTTATTTAAATACATATTTGCGTGGTGGTTCGAACACAATTAATGTTCTTGATCCCGAATTCTTGGATCCAAGTTACGACTACGACTTTACAAATATGCAAAGTTATGGGAGAATTTATACGCCTTATACGCGTGGAAATTTCAAGTATTATCGACCATATGGATGGAAACGTATCGCGTTAAAAGTTCTTGATAATGATTGGCTTGGTGCAAAAGATAGGATGAATCCCTTTAATTCTGTGGATGGTGAGTGGATAAATAGTTACCATGGTACCGCAAAAGGTAATGTTGAACCAATCACAAAGGATGGATTTGATTTGAGTAAAGGAATAAATTTTGAATTTGGTATTGGAATTTATTCTACTCCATATATTGAAATAGCCTCTGGTTATGCTACAAGATTTAATTATGAGGGAGAAACATATAAAGTCGTGTTTCAAAATCGTGTGAAACCTAATACCTTTAATATAGAAAACTTTAGAAGGTATTTTGTTACTAGTAATGACAGGGATATTAGACCTTATGGTATTTGCATTCAAAAATGTAATGCTTCCTTTTCTCCTCTTTGTTGTATTAATTAAACGAAAGAAAGCTTTGTTCACCTATAGCATCATATACATATTTTAACATTGTAATTAATCTAACTTTTAATAAAAAGCGATATATCACTTTGAAAGCATGATATCTAGCAATGAACTGTCAATGATGCCGTCTATAATATTTTCAAAATGTGAGGGTTTTTGCCTAAATGAAAATTGTGACCTATTTTATTTTTCCTATCCATCAAATTTTAATTTTACAACTTTATTTTTTTAAAAAATAAAAAATTAAATAAATAAATAAAAGCAGTAAATCTTTCATCAAATTAGTAAAACCATAGAACAGGACTGAATTCCACTAACTAACGTTTTCGCTTACAATCAAGATATTTAAAAGATTGATTAGAATTCATACCAAACGTATGATGGACTAAAACAATTACCTTTTAAATGATTCTAGAAAATTAATAACGACTTTAATGATTGAATTATGTAAGCGTACACATTTTCATAAAATTAAAGTAATGATGATTTTTGTGGAGTATAAAAAGCAGGAAGATATATTTCGAACGTAATGAGTTAATCACGGGATGCAATTATTCTATAACCCTTGTTAAAAAGTAGGACTCTTTTACAAAACTTGTTTTAAGATGATTTTTTACACGTATTTTATGATCATTAGGGGTTTAATCAAATGCGTATAGCCAATTTTTTTTTTTTAGAAAAAGAAATCATCATGAAAATGTCATTAAATAGTTTACTCGCGATAAAAAGAAAAAAATCGGGGAGAAATGCATCATCTCCATTTATTTTGTTAATCGAAGAACAGCCTACGTAAATAAAAAAAAAAAATTTGATAATACAACATATGACAATGATCATCATGCATTTGTAAACTAAAAGTGGAATACTTTATATTGATATATACTGTAAATATGCCGAGAATTTTTAAATATAGACGTAACATGTAAACGTACAAATTTTTTATTAAAGATATCAAAGACAACAAACAAACACACAGGTAATTGCATGATGAAACTCACTTCGTGAGACATATTTGGTCAAAAGATAAGCACGAGAATTCTACCACCATAAACCAATTGAAGAATAAATACTACGACTTTGCAAGTTCTGAAAATAATTACACTTGAACATCATCATTTCTTTCACAAATAAATTTTACACTTTAATACAATCATTATGATTTAGAAAATGAGAGTAATCAAAATGTGAATTTGAGAAGTATTAAAAGAACGAAACTTTTTAATTTCGATAAATATATTCATATTAAAATAATCTTTTCTCGACTAATGAAACAAAAGTAAGACCGCCTGGGTTTATTACCGATGGTTTTACGTTAGCTTTACTCATTTGAATGATTTACTAATTATATGAGGTTTATCATCATGTGGACTATATACTGTATATCATCATATCTATGAAAATCCTTCTAATTCTGTCATTTTTTTGTTTTAAACAAAAAAAAAAATTTAATTAGTTCATTAAGATTAAGAAGATTCAAAATAAAGTATGCGTAACATCATTTAATTTGCAATATTTTATACTATGGTATATGATAAAAAACATTTAACTTATATAATTGGAAATTCCGTGAAATCAAACAATTAAAGAAACAGAAAGGCGACAACAGCTGTCATTAAAATCCAAAATCCCATATCCCAAATATTGATGGATACACTTTTATTAGAATTATTAGAAACGTAGACGATATCGGTGGAGGTAGGTTTTAAAGTGGTAACAGGAGGAGCAGCTTCTTTGATAATAGTAGTTTGTACGATTCCCGGGGTACTTGAAATAGCAGTCGGAGTAGGTAGCCCACCCGTGATAGGAATCTCAGGAGGTCCGCCAATCGGACCTGTATTTTCAGGTGCTCCGCCATAAGGGTCTGCTACGTCTGTAGTTACGGGATAAGTAGGTACGGGACCATAAGGATTTGGATTAGCAGTTACTTGTGGTTGTGGTGTTGAAGACGTAGAAGTGAATATGTAAGGAGGTATTAATTGTCGTATTTTGATTCTTGTTAATTCATCTTGATTATTATTACTATCTCTTATTAAATTCGTGTGACAATTTGCTAATGTATTATAATGCAGTATTGACAGCAATAACAAAGCTAAAAAATTTACGCGCATGTTACTATATCTTGATCAAGATGAACCCGAAACGAATCTAATTATAGAAGCGTTAATATCAATGAAGAAAGGAAGACAATGGTTTTTTTTTTGTATCAAAAAAAAAAAAAAAAGAATGGAATAAATATTCCTTTTATATCAGTTTGAATTTTTTTTTTTTCTTAACATATTTTTTTCTTACAAAGGGGGAAATTTAAATGTGATATTTTTTGTAAAGGAACGTTTATAGAAAGATCGCGATTACAGAATGATTTAGATCGGCCACTGATTTTCTATTTTTTGGGGAATTTTCAATTGCGTAATTTTATCCTTTCAAAATTTTTACTAATCTACAATATGCGGTTAACATTCTCTTAATATATGCATAAAAGAGAAAAAAAAAAAAAAAAGATACCGAAATTGCAAATGTAAAATGAGCGGGATATTCGTGTGAAAAACGTGAGAATTTATGTATCACAAAATTAATCACAACGTGGCATTTTGAATAAACATATTAAGTAATGTTATAATAAATTAAATAACTACTGTATTTAATTATTTGTTCGTTCTCTGTTTCTAACAGATACTATATATGGGACCTTTGCAATAGAAAAGGGGGAAACGGCTGGAAAAAATAAAAATTGAATTAATGCTAAATCTGAACATATTTTGACCTAAAAATCATATTTGGCATATAAAGTAAAATTGATTTTTTTTCGGCTGTTTCCCCCTTTCTATTGCAAAGGTCCCATATGATGATAACACTTTCAACGTACGATATTAAAAATGATGAAGGTGGAAAAGAAAAGACAGATATCACAACTTTTTAAATTAAAAATCGAAGCTTTAATACTTCCTATCATGACAAATATTATTCGTGTTAAAGTTGAACGTAAAGCGTGATAGGTTTAATTATGAAGGAAATACTTTACTAAAGGATGAAGGTTTCGATTAAAACCATGAAAGGCATTATTGAAAAATCTAGTGTCATTCAAGTACAAATTAGTCCATTCAAAAGTTCCGTTAAAGGTGAAGCTTTTTAGTATGTATTTTAGCGGACGTTTGAAAGTTTCTTCAGCGGTGGCTAGTCCTAAAAAACTGAAAATGTCAAAGCTAAAGATGCCAAAAATGTCAGAATTAAATGTCAAAACACGTTAAAACCCAAAAGATTAAATTTGTATTTTCTCAATTATGTTGAAAAAAAAGTACATGATTACTTGAAGAAAAAGTATATGACTAATAAACATTTCCTTGCATAAAATAGTCAAGTAATGATAATGCTATCAAACATGTATAAGAAAAAGAAATAGGTTAGCATATTTCTTTTTGTACTTGATTATAATTAAATGATTCGATGTGAACTACAGTAAATTATAAATGTTTTAAAAAAAGACACAAAGAGGGTACGTAACTGATAGTGAAATTTAAATATACAAAATTTCTTTATTGCTACTAGAATACATTAATGCTAATATCTGTTGCTGCGCCAACCAAACATACCCTATCATATCGAAAATTCGCGTTCAATACCGGGACCCATAAAATTCATCAATTATATATAATTGTTCTTTTCATATAAATCGTCAAGGTTATTCTTAAAAGCATAAAAAAAATGAAGTGTATTGTTTGATTCACCTCGAGTTAGTTACTTAGTCAAAGTGATATAAATAGATGATGATTAAAATAGAAATCAGATAAAATTGTAAGACAATATTCACTTTTTATATTAATTGACTTTTTTGCAGCTATTTGCAAAAAAATACCAGAGTTAAATTTTTTCATACACACCAATTCTGATTTCTCCAATCAGAATATTAAGCATTAAATACGTCAGGCAGAATCAAGCACCGGACTTTCGCTCCGAGATTCCAACCACTTTATCATATAGGAATTTTACAATAAACGGGAGAACTGCCGGAAAAAAAACAAAAAGAGGAGTTTATCTAGTATTTCGGCCTGAAAACAAACATTTGGATTTAAAAGCTTTCCCTTTCTATTACTGTCAATTTAGCATCATCCATTGATTTTCCAACACCCCCATTCTTGGAAATAGCAGATCTATTTTTCCCAATTTCGTGACCCCCATTTAATAAATGCCGTTACACAATTTTTTTTTATTTTTGTCAGGAGTATGATTCACTTAAGGGAGTTTGTTCTCCACAACGCTCTTACTTCTCCCTTTTAAAACTTATTCTTAATCTTTTTCTTTCTTTTCTTTTTTTTAAAGGGAAATAAACATGGCATCATCAAATAATGAAACGAGTTCAATTCGTTCATCAAAAAGTAATTTATATGGTAATATTGGAGGAAATTCATCTTTCGTTGATGAATCTGTAGTTGGAAAATCATCATTAGAAGATGTAGCGGCTGGTATAGCTAGGATAGAAAACGTTCTGTTAGATCTTACAAAACAGATTTTAATATTAAATGATAATATGTCAGTATTATTAAACCAACCAACACAGACTTCTTCTTCAAATGGTCAAAAAGCGAATAATCTGGTTCAAGTGGATTTACAGCAAACTGAAATAAAAAGAAGTACTAGCATAAGAACGTATCACAAAGATCCCTCCGATACAATTGGAAATTTATCTTTACAAATTGCTACCTTATCTACCAGTGTAGCTCAATTAATTTCTCAAAGAAATAGTAATTTTATCCCTTTACAACCTCCGTTTCAAAGAATTCCAAGATGGAATCATGATCCTTATCGGAATTCAAATCATCCTCCTCTAATACCACGAAACATGGCTCCCAGACCAGATAGAAGTAACGTATGTTTTTTGAATTATCAACTTCAATTTACATAACCTTTTCTTTTTATTTATGTCGAAACTTTTTATCCTTTTATAGTCGATTGATAAAGAGGTTGATGAGGTGATTGAAAAGTTTGAGAATATGCGACTAAGG